GTGAATTGGATGAAAATGTTCAGAGATGTGGAAGGTAAATCTCAACACAACAGGATTATGCACCAGCATTTTGGTTGGGGAAATATGAAAGGAATGTATTCCCATTTTTTATCCCAGAAAGCTTTACTTTATCTGTAGACTGAAAGCAGCACAGTACAGAAGAAAGAGCAAGGGCTTTGGAATGTGTTGGATGTAGCATCAACAGCATAACAAATTGTCTATCATTGGGTATAGTCTTGAGTCTCAGTTTCTTCTAATTACAGTGACATAGTAATACCTATATCATACAGTTTTAAGGAGTGTAGTATTGGGCACTCAGTAAGTTACCAAAGAATTGCTATTCATTTTTTGTGTCTTTGGGAGGGCGATAAGAAAGTATAAGAATAGAGGCACCTGGGTGGCTCGGTTGGTTAAGTGTCTGATTCTTGGTTTCGGCTCAGGTTATGAACTCAGTGTTCTTGATTGAGCCCCGCATTGGAATTCTCTTTCTCTCCCTCCCCTGTTCATGCTCTCTCTCTCTCTTACTATCTCAAAATTAAAAAAAAAAAAAAACACACACACTTAAAAAAAGGGAAGTATAAGATATTAATCAAGAAGGTAGATGAGGATTTGTGAAAAGGAACCCTTACTATCTCTGTCAGTTCTTGTACTTCTTTTAAAGTGGATTTTCAAGTTGGGACAAAGGACTTTTGGGAGTCTCTGTTTACTTGAAAGATGTTGAATCTGGCCAGAAATAAGGAGGAGATGGATATCAATGGAAATACTTTGTTGTGGCATATTTTTTTTTGATGCAGTATTTTCCATCTCTGTAAATGGCAGATTCAATCCAATCTAATTTTGAGGTTTATGAAATTCTACTAACCTATCATTCCATGTAATTTATTTTCAGATTAACCATAAAAGTAATATCCATTTTCAGTAAAGATCAAAGAATCAGAACACATTATTCTTAGTCTACTAAATGTAACTTTTTAATTTCTAGAAGATTATGAGGTTCTGTGGTAAATGCATCCTTTATTATAAAGTCTGTTTATGTTGGGAATGGTAAATGATCATCAAGAGAGAATGGCAAGATTTTTTTTTAAGTTCTTATTTAAATTCCAATTATTTAATGTATAGTGTAAACCCAAGTGTGCCCCTTAAATCCCCATCACCTATTTAACCCATCCGCCTACCCACCTCCCCTCTGGCGACCATCAGTTTGTTCTCTGTAGTTAAGAGTCTATTTCTTGGTTGGCCTTTCTCTCTCTCTCTCTCTCTCTCTCTCTCTCTCTCTCTCTCTTTCTCCCTTTGCTCATTTGTTTTGTTAAATTCCACATGGCATGAGAGTTTTTAAACACCCTATCCAGAGCTTCTAATAAGTAACAGACACTAAAAAAAAACCTATCTTGACCTTAGGATGCTTATAAGACTAATTAAAAAGACAAAACATTAGTAAATGGAAAGATGCAAAGAAAGATAAAAAGAATTTCAGCAGGGGTGCCTGGGTGGTTCAGTTAGTTAAGTTGGACGGACTTCAGCCCAGGTCATAATCACACAGTTCGTGGGTTCGAGCCCTGCGTTGGGCTCCGTGCTGACAGCTCGGAGCCTGGAACCTGCTTCAGATTCTGTGTCTCCCTCTCTCTCTTCTCCTCCCCCGCTTGTGCTCTGCCTCTCTTTCTCTCAAAAATAAATAAACATTAAGAAAGGTTTTTAATTTAAAAAAAGAATTTCAGCAGAATTGCAGATAATTTGTATACTGAGGAGAGAAGATTGGCAAAGTAAAAAAAAATGAGTCAAGAGGAAGAATTCTCTTAATAACTTACATTTATGATGGTAATTTTGGTAACTAAAATGGATGACAAAGCCAGAACTATACTTAGAGATAAGAATTACATATATTGTATATACTCTAATCCTGTTATTCACTGTAAGAAGTATTAAAAAAAGATAATAAATGCGACAGAATACTGCCTTCATAACAAATGACTTAACAGGGTCTTCTTTTCTTTTATATGATTGAAAACCCCCTTAGGAGGTTATAGGTATTACCAAGCAAATGCAATTGGCATTCTTGAGTATACTCTTTTAAAAATATTTGTTGAAATCCTATTATATGTCAGGCCCCGTTCTAGGCACATGTTTATATTCTTTGCCTTACGTGTAGTGAAAAAGTATCTATTTTCAAGCTGGCAAAGGGAAATCAAATTGTTCATTTCAACTTTATGTTTGTAATGTGTCACATTGTCATCAGATTTTAAATTTAGTTTAAGATTTTATTGAGTCATTCAGGAAATCCATCAAATCGATGATGTAGAAGTGAGTTTTATATACCTGGTTTAGGCCTTTATATTTTCTTAATATTTATTTTATTTTTGAGACAGACAGAGAGCGCGCACGGGGGAGGGGCAGAGAGAGAGAGGGGGACAGAGGATCGAAAGTGGTCTCTGCACTGACAGCAGCGAGCCCAACGTGGGACTTGAACTCATGAACCATGAGATCATGAGATCATGACCTGAGCTGAAGTTGGATGCTCAACCGACTGAGTCACCCAGGCGCCCCGGTTTAGGCCTTTGTAATAAAGGCATGGATTTGCTGTTAGTTGTAATTAGGTTTAAAAACAAGTCTAATGTCTCTAAACCAAAACTTCTGGCAAGGTGTCAGGATTGTGTACTTACCAGCCTTACTACACTTCTGTTAATCAACATTACTGGGATTTACAAAGTACCTATTGGTTCTAAAAACATGAATAAATAGGAGATGAGTTAATTTACAGAAAGTCATACCAAATCTGGATTTTTAGGATTTAGGGGCACCTGGGTGGCTTAGTTGATTGAGTGTCCAACTTCAGCTCAGGTCATGATCTCATGACTCGCGAATTCGAGCCCCGCCTCAGGCTCTCTGCTGACAGTGCAGAGGTTGGAGCCTCCTTCAGATTCTGTCTCCCTCTCTCTCTCTCTGCCCTTCATGCTCTGTCTCTCAGTCTCTCAAAAATAAATAAACGTTAAATTAAAAAAAAAAAAAAGGTTTCTATGATTTAATCTTACCAATAAGTGCAAGGTACCTGGAATCACCAGCCCCCACTGCTCAGCTACTGTCTCCTGCCAGTGCCAGAGACACTTGGAATAGTGTTTATGATTTACACAGTTTCAGACTGGTTTCTAAAGAGCCCTGGGGTTCTGAGTACTGAGGCACTAGGTCATACAGAGATCACTTAAGTTTACTTTTCTATGCAAATGCCACCAAAATTGAGGCTGTCATAGCCTCCATGTGGAGAACTAGTGTCTGAAGGTTGCCGAGGCACTTTGTTTATCCTAGTGAATGGCCCTCAGATTCCTTACTGGGAATCGTACCTACTTCTGGGCCCCACAATTTAAAACAAGTGTGGAGTGGCACCTGGGTAGCTCAGTCAGTTAAGCCTCCTGCTCTTGATCTCAGCTCAAGTCATGATCTCATGATTGGTGGGATGGAGCCCCGTGTGGGGCTCTGCACTGACAGTGGGGAGCCTGCTTAGGATTCCCTCTCTCTCTATTGCTCCTTCTGTCTCTCTCTCTCCCAATATAAAAAAATAAACATTAAAAAAAAATAAAACAAGTGTGGAGGACTAGGAGAGAAGTCTGAGTACGGGCCCAAGACAAGAACAGAGAATGAGACCTATGAGGAAACCAGAGTTATTTTACTTGGAAAGGAGAAGTCAGAATGACAATTTAATAATGGTCTTTCAGGCATTAAGAATTATTACATTGAAGTAAATGACCAGACTTTCTTCATGTGCAAAACAGTAAGAGAAATAGAATTTCAGTGTTAGCAAGAAGAATATAGTAAAGATCCAAAAGAAAAAAACAGCAATCAGACGCTAAGCCTATTTAATCAAAGGAATAGATCATTCCACACACTTTATGAAAGTGTTTTTATAGGCAATATGAATTCCTGTCTGTTTCATGTATTAAAAGTAATACTACCTGAAAGAACAGGGGCAAATTAAATGAACTTTGTTTTTCGACCCTGTGACTCAGTGATTTATCTTAAAGTTACATCAGAAGGTATAGATTTCAAATAATTATTTTGAATTAGAGTCTCATATCCCAGTGCTGCCAGGAGAGAAGCTACTTTCTAATGATGTTAGGGAAGTTAGTGGTATGGAGCAACATTTATTCCAGGGGTCATGAACTCGCGTACTCACAGGGGTCTGCGGGTACCACGGAGTGAGCCAACAGCATGGAACAACACGGGGTGGTAAAAGTTGTGTATTTGAAGGTGTGGGACCCATCCAAAAGGGGACAGCCGCTGCTGACCAGCCAGTTGTTTTCATGTCGCAACATGCCCATTTTGCCAGATTTTTGGCTTTCTCCAGGAAAACTGGAACTCTAGAATCTCATGTGAATCTTTTATTTAGCATTGACAAAATACTAAGATTCATCAAAATACTGTTCAGGCAAAGCCGTACACGTCTGTGGGCTGTGAGTTAGAAACCTCTGGCTTTCTTTTCGGTCACTTGCTAACCAACACGTTTGTTAGCAAACAAACAAAACAACTGATTGAACTCTAAACCTTAGAAGAATTCATCTACTAAACCTTTGTGAGGCTTAATTAAGGTCCTTTCCAGCTCTGTGAATCTTTTGATCTTCTCTTCCTTCTTCCCTGCTCTCAGTAATGGGTGACTTATCCACTTAGTGGTGGGAATTTAAAGGAACTACTTATTTCCTTAGCAATATAATTTTATTTTGTAAAACCATCAAATGTTTAGACTGAAAACAACTTTTGTTGCTATACTAAAGATGCTACTGATGGCTATTACATTTTTAGGAATGCACTTATGTATGGCATAGACATGTCACTTCAGATCTTTGAACTAACAACTGTTTCTAACATTGGCTGCATGAGGCATGCTTGACTTAAAAGCCTACTTACACTTCAGCATTTGGTGACATATTTTACTTCCCTTTTATAAAATATTTTCAAATAACCCACTTCCACCTGGGGTAAGGACGGCTCCATTTCTGAAATCCCCTTCCTTTCAGACAGGAGAATATGCCACAGATGAAGAAGAGGATGAGGTAGGACCTGTTCTTCCTGGCAGCGACATGGCCATTGAAGTCTTTGAGCTGCCTGAGAATGAGGACATGTTTTCCCCATCAGACCTGGACACAAGCAAGCTCAGTCACAAGTTCAAAGAGGTAAGCTGCTGATCTGCAAACTATTTTTTATACATGTCCATTTCATTATTAAATTTACATTTTTGTTTGAAAAATGTATTGAGAATCCGTTTTCAAAAGAAAACCTTTTGATAACAGGTTGTCTTGAATCTCATTGAATTTCAAGGTACAATTTAAGTAGATCTCATTCCACAGTCCTTAATTTTTAAATGCTTATTATCTGTCGTAGTGATAGCTTACAGCTTGTCTGTTCCATATTTTTAAGCTGTAGCTTAAATGCCTGGTTTTCATGATAAGTTCAGGTTGTATTTTTTAAATTTTTATAGAATTTGGGGGACTTGATGATAAGCTTTCCTCTAAGGCAGTGATTTCTAAGAAAGTTTTTTTTTTTCTTTTCTTAAAATAGACAAGGTCCCAAAAGGAATCAGACGACATACCTAAGGAGTTTAATTGAAGAAATTAAAGTTTAATGAATGAACCTTGAACAGAATTAATATAACTACCCAGGGATGGTGAGGTGCACAGGGACTGGCAACAGCAGGAAGTTGTTGTTCCAACTTCCTCCCAAAAGAAGGCTTTAGTGGGAAAAAAGGAAAAGAGATTCCCTTTTTTTTGTTTTTGTTTTTCAAAGAAGGGCATCTTTGTAAGATGTGGCCGCTGCTAAAAACTACATCCTGAGGATAAGGGTGGGTCATATACACTCAGCCCCTTCTCTTCTCCTGCAATTGCCTCCTATTGGCCAAACCCAGGCAGGAGTCTGAAGAGGTCAGCCTCCTGAGGCAGGAACTATTAGAAAAGGGCCAAAAATGGATCCTGAAAGGGCAAATGCAGGCAACCACATAAATTCTTCTTCTTCGAAATTAGCTACTCAGAACTCCAACATGTAAAACAGAGACAGTGATGAATGGGTCCCCACGCATTTTATTCTTCATTGTTTCAGGGAACATCCTCCATTATTGAAGGCAAGTGTGTCATTATTTACAGCTTCCCCACAATAACCCTGAAGCACTGAGGCTTGAAAACCATTGTTCCTTCTTTCCAGCCTGTTAGGGACTTGACCTTTTGGAAGAAAAGGTTCTCCTATACATGAAAAACAATGTTGATAATTGCAAGTTTGTAATTTCTAATTTTATTTCTAATTTCTAATTTTCTTTCATTCATAATTTCTAATTTTTTTAAATATAATTTCTGATGTATCGTCTAAGTAGGTCAGTTTTATATGTTCTGATGTTATACCTATCCGTGTCCTATATATTGACTTACCTTTTTAATTCCTTATGATAAATTTATACTTGTGAGACTAATAACAAAGTGAATGTACTTTTAAAATGTAAATTTTTGGGGTGCCTGGGTGGCTCAGTCAGTTAAGCGTCAGACTTCAACTCAGGTCATGATCTCACAGTTCATGGGTTCAAGTCTCACGTCAGGCTCTGTGCTGACAGCTTGGAGCCTGGATCCTGCTTCAGGCTCAGTGTCTCCCTCTCTCTCTGCCCCTCCCCCACTCGTGCTGTGTCTGTCTCTCAAAAATAAAAAAGACATTAAAAATTTTTTTTAAATAAAATGTAAATTTTTGTTCAGAAAAAAAAGCCCTTAGGTTTATTATAGAATTTTGGAAAATGCACAGTTGTATAAACACCAAAAAAAATCATTCATGATCCCAATTTTGTGGTATTTATGATTATACAGTATATACTATGTTAACTTCCTACTCCTGATACTTATAATTGCATTATTAGGATTTTCCCATGTCATCAAATATTCATCCATAAATGATGTTTATTCACTATATGGATCTCTTACTGATCTACTTAATTTTTGTCTTGTAACATTTCCTTTGTTTTGAGCTTAAAAATGTTATTATTATTAAAAGTTACACTGCAATAAATATTTTTATACTTATCCTTAGGATAATTTCTCACAGTGGAATTATTCAATCAAAGAATATCAGTATTTTGGGAACTTGTGGTACTTAATACCAAGTTGCCACCAAAATGGCTTTTCTCAGTGACACAGAAATTTATTTATGCCACCCAGTGTGTTGAGAGTGCCCATTTCTCTTCCACCTATTATTATTTGTCAGGTTGAACCATTTCCATTTGTATAGTACACAGAGTCCTTGAGGCAAAATATATGGGTTTTCCAGATGATTTATGACTGTTCCTAGTTCTAAATCAGATACAAACACCTTGGTGACAAATGAAGTACACTATTCTATAATGATCACAATACTCCTTTACATTAGGAGTAGCAATGCCTATCTTAGGGCCAATTCTTACAAAGGGTTTCTAAATTAACTGATATCTTCAAAGAGCAATGCAGAAAAAGAAAGTTCTGCTGGAAGCGGCTGAGTGGGAGGAAGAGGTAATCTAGGGACCTCTTTCTCTGAAGCTCCGATTTGGCCCAAGAATACAGATTATCTAGAAGTATAGATGGACCACTTGTTCTTTAAAAAACATCTTTGGGAATGTTGTAACTCTCAATCCAGGTTTGAGGCAGTGAAATCAAGGTAGTATATCTGGGCAAAGGCCTGTAATATAGCTTACCCATGTTGCCAATTGAGTATGGCCCTACTTTTTGGTAGATGATTGAGCTGGAAGTTGGGTCCACATTCTTTTATGGGAACTAAAGAGTATAAAAAGCAGAAATAGTATATGGAAGGTTATATCTCCCACTTTCTGAGTTGAGCCAAGGAGTCAATGCTCTGTAAATATTGTTTGAGGTGTGTACACCATTGTGCAGACAACTGCATGATCTAGACCTAGGGGTTGGTGAACTATGACCTATTGGCCAAATCTAGCCCACTGCCTTGTGTTGTAAATAAAGTTTTATTCAACACTGCCATGGACATCTATTTATTTATTGTTTGTGGCTGTTTTCAGGCTATAATAGCCAACTTAAGGAGTTACACAGAGACCATGTGGCCTGCAAATCCTAAATTATTTGATATCTGGCTTTTTACGGAAAATGACTGCTGACTTTGGTGTATCCCACTGCATAATCTGGACCCATTCTGTGTAACACAGCTGATTTATTTTTAGCTTGAGTAACTGAATCTGTAGTTTTGTTTTAATTTTGGTTCTTAAGAATTGGAGGTTTGTCCTCACCTCAAGATTAAGCAAATACCACATTGTTTCACTTCTAATTCTTGTATTCTTATTTGTGATATATTTAACAGATTAATATATTCATTTCTTCGGGAATGGCCACTGAATATCAGCTGTGTGGCATTCCATCTCAGCATTTGTGTCTTGTACACTGCCACTCTCACAGTTTTAAGTTTCTTTGTGTGATTAACATAAATGTCCAAGTAATTTACAGCACTAGATATTTTTCACAAGATTCCATACAAATGGGGTGGAGGTGGAGAGTCATGTGTATTGGAGTCTATACAAAGTCTTCTGTTACAGAGAGTTCTCTCGATTACATTATATCAAACAGAAGCACATGCTGTACTCTTTGAGCAAAACGTATTAGACTGACATTATCTCAATCAGTCCTACTTTTGGCCAATTTCCTATCTTCTACCAGCCTCTATGCTCCTCTGTTTTTGCTTGCTCTTGTAGGTTTTCACATATTTCTTCATATATAATTAGTGGTTAAATATTTGGTGAATCAGTGGTATAAAGCATACACCGTAATTTGTATAATTCAAGACAGGCATCTAATTTAATTTCTCCAAGTAGTTGACAAGATAGCTGGCACTTTTATTCAACACTCATTTATGCATTTCCCTCTGCTTGGAAGGCCAGCATTATTATCCACAGAATTGGTGCCTTTGCACTCTGGACTACTTTTGGCCTTATAATCAGTTCTGTTTTCTCATTCTTTGGTACAATGCTGTTAGAATATATATTGAATTTTGATGGAGTAAATCAGATTCATCTAACACTTCAAAATTCTGGTAGTGTTCAACCTATTCAAGAAAACATTTGAATCACTTTATTAGTTCCCTTGGAAAAACTTCTTTGCATTTTTATTGTAATTACATTAAACTACTAAATTAACTTGCAGAGAGCTGGCATTTTTATCACATTGACTCTTTTAATCCACATTTATGTAATGTATCTGTTTAATTGAAGTCTTTTTTTTCTGGCCCTCTCTAATATTTTATCGTACCCTCTATTAGTTACACAAGCTATAAGTAACAGAAGATCTTAACTAGAGTGGATTAATCAAAAGCTGCCACAAAGGTTCTCTATTAGCTTCAATATAAGTTAAGAAGTTTTCTCAATTTCTCTATTTTTAGAAATGACTTTTATAAGATAGACTTAATGACTTGCATAAAACTAATTTCTGTTCCCTGAAAGTTTGTTATTATTCAGCTATAAAACCATCTGTGCCTTTGTGGAGGAAGATTTTAAAAACCTTTTATAATAATAGCCATTACTGTCTTCAAGGTTTCAAGTTTTTCTTGGGCCAGTTTTGGTATTTTGCATCTCTCAAGAATTTTATATAGTTCCTCTGGCATTCATATTTTCTAACATTTTGATCTACAATATACTTCTTAAGTACTGAAATCTTTAATGTCTATAATTATTCTTATTTTCTTCTTTTTTATTTGAATATTTTTCTTAGTTGTTTTATCTAGAATTTTTATCTATCATGTTAGCCTTTACATGCCTAATTTTTTAATTAAAAATACTTATTTTGTTATTTCCTACCAGTATCTTATTTTTGCCCTTCTTTTTTGTTTTGGTATTGATCAATTGTAGTTAGTACTCTATTTTTGATAACTCTTGCATTCTGATAAATATATTTAAAGCTATACTTTATCTAAATATTCATTTTTAGTTACATGTTCCAATTTTTTTACATTTAGAATGTCACTGTCATTTAGATGTAATTTCTCTTTAATACTTTAATATAAAAGAGGGGTTTCCTCTTTAATATAAGAATGATTTAGTGGTATATTTTACTTTCCAGACATATGTAACTTTGTTTTGTTCTTCTTTTGTTATCAGGTTCTAACTTTATCACATTCTGGTCAGAAAACATGTTCCATATGATAGCTACTTAGAATT